CCCACCCACCCTGCACCCACTCATCTGCCCACTCACCAAGATTTGACACCCACACGTCCTCCTCCCGCACGCGCCCAGACCGCAGCAGAGACATCAATATATTTATGGCCTCTGGGAATGGGGCATTCGAGGGACAACAAGATATGAAATGAGTCTGCACATTGAAACAAGCGCTCTCAAAACAGTTGCGCACATGTGCAAAGCAGCAAATCATGTAGCGCATGCCTGCAGCAGCTGCTAACAATGAATTTGATGTCGTCTGGTTTATGCAAGTGTGCAACGTTGACGACCCGCCCGCGCATTGGTTGAGCTGCGCACCTGAGCCGTAACCAGAGCCAGACCACACAGGTCCATGCCACCAGAGGGGATGCCGCAACTCAATGCGGCCGCTGCCGCTGCTAGGCAGTGTTGCGCTAGCTGCAGTGATTGCAATGTACTCTGGACCGCGGCCACTGCTGCTGCGGCTGCGCAGGCTTACTAAACTGCTCTGTGATGATTGTGCTGCTTGCAGCAAGCCACACTTTCGATATGCGATTAGCAGCGCACCCAGTGCCACAACAACACCACCAAGCGCAAGCAGCAGCGGCGACGGCCTGCTGCCATGCGCCAAGTTCCGTCGCCGCATCCGGCCTGATTTATAATTCTAGCTCTGATGAATCAATTTCCAGTGTTCAGGCAACACATTCTGGCCGAATGGACCCTGGTGTGTCTAGGCCGGATGATCAAGGTCGAGCATCGCCGGGTTACTGATAAGGAGCTGCTCAGTGTGACAACTAACATGTATTATTGATGCGTGCATCCATCCATTAGAGCATCATGGCGACGCGTTGGCAAAGGGGGGTCAGGGCACGCTCGAGGCTGAGTAACTGTGCGACATGGCACCAAAATTGCAATGGCTCTCTCGATACTGCCAGCAATGTTCTATCGAGAGATTTGAATCAACCTCAACTATCTTGGAACCGCAGTCGGCGTTCACCGTCTCACAGGGGCGTGTAGAGGTGGCAATAGGCAAGTGTGCGGCAAGCAGAGTGCCCTACAAAGCAAGTGGGGTTTCCCTGTTTGTACCCATTCCAAGGGACTCATATCACAAACTCACTTCCTGAGCGTCGTGTCGCGGCGGGTCTATCAGTGCGGCGGAGGAGGCTTGAGCTCGGTTCGAAGAAAAAGGCCGCAAAGGGTGCTTGTGCATGCACGTGCGAAGGAGATCCTGGCGACGGTGAGGCAAAAGGGCCACAACCTATTCCAGGTCACCTCTGAATATGCAGGCGGCGTTCATTTTGTCCTTGTCAGTCGGGTGGCGTAAGCAGGGCCCAACCGTCACTGGAGACGCCGCACACGGCAAGTCTGGCGAGCAGCAACTTACACAAAGCGCATGGGGTATCCCTGCCCATACCCGGTCCACCAGTACCCTTCAATACAAGAATTACCTGTATGGCGTTTGATGTTCGGCTCTACCGAGGGGTTGGGGTTCAAGGGTCTGGGTGCCCCTCATCAGGGCTCTCCGTCGGCTCGCCCCCAGCTGCACCACGCTGCTGGCAGTGCACACGCACGGGCAAGGTGGCACCTGCATGCGTTGACATCGAGGCTAGGGTTCCTCCTGAGCTGTCTGCTGCCGCTGCACGCGCGTTCAGACTCACCCGCTGCAGTGCAGTCACGCGCCAGGGAGCCACATGGGGACAGCAACAAACGTTTTTACCTGGCCGCACACCCCCCATACAATGAGAATCCACATGCCCAGAGGCCTAACACGCAAGCCCCGGCATTGAATTGGACGCAGCGCGCCAGCGTCAGCACCGTTCTGTGCAGCACAGGGGCCAACCCAGACGGGGCAGCGCGGCTTGCCGAGGCGCTTTGTGTCTGGCCATGTATGCCATGACTAACATCGGCCCGCTTGCGTCAAGCGACACGGTTGTGGGGCTGGCGGGGCAACTTGTGTAGGGATGATGACTGACAGCTGAGTGAGAAGGATTGAAACAAAGTGACAAACTCACCATATCTGCCTTTCAGATTAGATTGATGTCTGACTTCCCAGGAGAAACTTTTAGTCGAATCACCTTTGTGCCTGAGTGCGCACACGCGCCTCAAGCTCCCACAGCAGAGTTGCTGTGGATGGGCACGACCGTCATGACGCGGATGACAACTCACAACCGCCGCTGCTGCGCCCACACATCCTCCTCGCTGGCTGTTTCCGGCGGAACCTGCAGCACGCCGCGCACCAGCAGCAGCGGCGGGTTTCCGTTGAGCCGCCTCGTGTCCTAGAGCCGCCGCCCCAGGGTTCGCCAGTTGTGCGACGCCTGCACAACTTCTGGGACGCCGCAACACGCGCCCGCCTCGCCCGCCATAGGCAGCCTGGCAGCCGCTGCCAGGCAGGGACGCGGTCCCCAGGGACGCAGCCGTCCCTACCAGCACTGTTTTGATGACTCAGCCAGGATGAAATGTACGACGGCCGTCAGCGACTGGGAATGGCAGAGGCTGGCTGTGTGCAGCCCTATAATTGGACCCCCGTGGGTACAGTAAACCAGGATCAGGCCGGGTGCATGCAGCCCTACCAATCGACACCCCCTGGTAACCTGGCATAATTCTGGGTTGCCAGGGAGGGGGTGCCCTGTGACAGGCCTGGGCAGCGAAAATCGGCCAGGGGAGCCCCTGTCAAGACGGAGCATTGACCAGCAGAGGCGAACGGGCGAGCAGGTCGTCACTCTGAAAATCCCTTGTTACCCCCAAGAACTATGTCCAGTTCACAAATTACCCACCTTGTTCTCCACGAGACTCCCAAATTGTCTGTCACATTACTACTCCCTGTGCTTACTATTCACCAGGTGAATGAAACCGAGGAGTATGCACATTTCATTGCAAATTTGAACAGCATACGGCGCACACATCTCACCTGTATTCATACACGTTCCACTGAGCACAAGTCAAGCGTGCACGCACTGCAGCGTGCGTATGCTGCTCGGAGCGGCAGGGCGGCGGCCCGTCACAGCCACAGGCAGGAGTTGTGCACCAACACAGCTGACTGCAATCAGAGTAAATCATCCAACCAATCGCACGGGTGTGTGCGTGCGCGCTGCGCAGCCGAGCAAAGAAGCGAAGCTACCTGATCTCGGCGAGGCGGAGCAGGACGACGACGGTTCAGCGTATTTGAGGCCGGAGTTCGAAGACTTATCGGATGAGCAGGTGCGCACAAGTGGAAAACCAGGCCCGTGCTGCTGTGCCGGCCGGCCTTGCTTGTGCGGCGCCGCACAGCGGCTCATCACTGGCTCGCAGACCCACCTCCTGCGTCCATGCATCAAAAGCATATACATGTATATGTACATCATGGTTATTGTCCAACCACATTACCAAGCGCGAGCTGCTGTGGGCCTTGTGTATCAAAGTGGCAGGCAGCTCAACTTGCATCGCTGCCGCAGCGTCGCCCTTGCATCCCTGAACCTCCAGCACCCCACTCAGGACACAGAACAGCATATGGTGCATGTAACATACACTCACACGCACGCGCACGCACGCACGTATGCCCACACACACACACATGCACGCACGCACGCACGCGCGCACACACACACACACACACACACACATACACACACACACACCGCATTCGCACAGGTGGACGATCTCGTCGATGCCGCGGCCGACCTGATCAGCGTGCTGCCCGAGCTGCGGCCGCTCGACCGCTCCACCTTCAATGCCGGCTATGAGGTCTGGCGCGCGATCGCTGCGGTGCCTGCTGGGGAGCGGTACCGCATCCTCGAGGGCCTGGAGCCGGGGTCCATTAGGAACCTCTGGAAGGCCAGTGTTGGCAGGTGGGGGCTCACGCTTGTCAAGGGGTGGCCGCGCGTACCATGGGGAGGGGCTGGCTCTGTAAGAGTGAGTGGGAGACGGAGAGGTGGAGTGTGTGTTTGTGTGTGTGCGTATGCGTGCTTGTGAGTGTGTATTTCAGTACTTTATGTATTTGTTTGTGATTGTGTGTATGTGCAGGGGAGGCAGATTGGGCTCTGGGGGGACCGTCGGGCGGGCGCCGCCTCTGATGGCGGCGGGGGTTGTGTGGTTCCACGAGTGCATGGTGCCGGTGCTGCGGCCAGGTCTGGGGGCCGCTGGGAGCTGGGATGCACTCCTGGAGGTTCACTCAATGCAAGAGGTGCAGGCAGGCGCCTGAAACATGCACGCCAGCGCCGGCCTGCCCGGCGAACGCGCCCGATGCCGCCTCGTCGCCTTCCCCTCCATGGCGCCTGTGCGGCTTCCGGCCAGATATGCCTTGTCCGAGGAGCGGGCGGCGGAGATCTACAAGGATTACGTGATCTGGATGGATCTGCCCGCCCAGCCGGGGCAGATCTTCACCTACGCAGGGATCTGCGAGAAGCTGCAGCTGGGCGCCCCCGGCGCCCCCCTGCCCGCCGCCGGCGCCGTCCCCCCGCCGCCCGGCGGCGGCGGCTCCCGCGGCGCCGGCGCCGCGCCGTGGCTGCGGGCCGCGCCGGGCGCGTGGGCGCTGCCGCGGCGCGAGTTCACACAGCGCTTCTTCAGGGCCGCGCGGACGGGGAAGCTGCACAGCCGCGTCGCGCTGCGGCTGGCGGGGCCGTTTGAGACGTTCTGGGCGCCAATCTACAACACAGTGGAAATCGACCTAGTGCTCACCCCTGTGGAGGCGGACGCCGGCGCCGACGTGTCGATCTGCTACCCTTGGACCGACGCCGGCGGCCGCCCGCTCGACCTCGGGCGCGGGGACCTGCCCAGCGCCGTCTGGCCCTCGCCGCGCCGCGGGGCGGCGTGGAGCCCGTTCAGCAGAGGGGGGCGCGACTACGTGCGGTTTGCAGGGCCGGGGGTGATGGTGGGGTGCGCGTATGGGGCGGGGGAGGACGGCGTGCTGGCTGAGGACGAGTTTGTGTATTTCGCCATGGCCCGCGTCTCGTGACCTCAGGGGCCGGTCGACCAGATCGGCTGGCATGTTTGGGGAGCACGTGGGAGCGTCTGTCGCTTTGTTTTGATGCGCCGCATGCTTGGGTCGCATGCTTGGGTCGCCCCGTCCTCCAGGCCTGATTGCAAGCGTAGGTTAGAAGCATGTTCCACTCACCTGGTCACTGGCAAACGCATGCTCATCGCGCAAAGCTTGCCCCCGCTGACTGCTTGTTTCTGCCAATTGCTATCCACCTACAAAGCCAAAGACGGTAATTACAAATGGCTTGTTGACAGCTTTTGGGCCCCCACAGGATCCAGGGTGCCGAGTGGATGGGGCCAAGAGGGGGTGAAGGAAGCCACGCAAGTCAAAGAGGTGCCACCAGGCACGGCGGGGCAGACGTGGATAAATGAAGCGCGTAAAGGCAGAGCGGCAGGGCCGGCCGTAAGCAAACAGGCAGGGGCTGCTGAACGAGAATGGGTAGGTTCAGGAGGGCGGGCGCCGCCATGGAATGCTCGGTGCGGGGGCGGTCGCGGCAGCGCAGCGGCGAGTCAGGAGGGGGACGGATAGCAAACGAGTAGGCTGCCGCTGCAAGACACGAGTGGCGTCCAAGGTACAAGGGGGATCGTGCAGACTGCCTGTGCAGGTCGCCGCCGCGACGGTCGCCACCCCAGTGCCACGCTGCACGGCCGTGGGCCCGTCGATTCGTGCGCCCCCTCAGGCTGCGGCCGGCCCCTAACACCAAGCACGCGCTCACGGCCCCGGGCACGACAGGGCTGGCGCCCTGATCAGCCGCGGCAACGGCCACTGCGATGGGTGCAAGCTGCATGAAGAAGATGGTAACAATGCACCCAGGGATTGGGTGGCAGGGGACAACGAAAACAGACACATGCAAAACATGAGGACGTGCGAGCGAAACAATGGGAGGGAGCCAGAGGGACCGGCCCTGTTGGCCGCCCGCCCGCCGCCGCTGGCGGCTGAGAGCCTGCCGGCGCGCCGCGCCAGCCTGCTGCCAAGAAGGGCCAGCGAGAGCAGCGCCGCAGCCCCCTCGACCACCCGCACGGGCGCCCGGGTGGCAGAGCTGTGAGCGCCGCGCCTGCAACCAGTCCTGCCACCGGGTGCGCATGCGTGCGTGCCGACGTTCGGCCCCTTGCCCTCAGCGGTCGAGCTCAAACCCTCAGTGTTCGAGCTCAAACCCCTTGTGCGCGCGCTGCCCCTTGCGCGCCTGCGTGCGCGACTTGCTGCTCGCGCTGCTGGGGCTGCGGAAGGCGCGCTTCTCCAGCGCCGTCAGGCGGCCGGGGCGCTCAGCCAGCGGCTCGTAGCCAAACACGGCGTGCAGCAGCGGGTTGCACTGGAGGTGCGCCTGCGGGGGTCACGTGGGGTCGCAGCAGAGGCTGTTGCCATTCACACGATGCAGCGCAACAGAGGTTTCCAAGGTCTAAGGCCAGACACGGCCCCTGCGAGGGGCCCGCCGCGGCCGCCCCTGCTGCGCAGGCGGCTAGGCAGGAGGCGCCGCCCGCGAGGGACGGGCTGCTGCCCCGGCTGCGCCGGCTGCACGGCGGCACGGCTGTGCGCGGCTGCCAGTGGGCGCACCTGGAAGCCGCCCGCCAGGAAGCGCCGCAGGTAGCCCATGCTGACGTTGCCGTTGAGGGTGTTGATGTGGAGCGTGTCCCCGTGGCGCAGCTTGATCTTCGTCTCACGCACGGCGCCGTCCTGGGGGCGCGCACGTGGGGTTTTTTGAAGTGGCTTGTCGTGCAGATATGGGGCGCCCCAGGAAGAGCAGGGGCCGAGATGTGGGGGAGGTGCGAACTCTGAGGCCTGAGCGTCAATCCCCGCTGCGGCCGGCGCAGTGAGCTGCTTGCTGTGGTTCAGGCTGTGCCAAAGCTACGCCTTGCCGGCAAGCCCACGATCAAGACAGGAGGGAAGGCGGAAGATCGCGGCGCTGCCGAGTGGGGACGAGCGGCGGCGAGGTAGAAGCCCTCAAGCCCAGCGCAGGTGGCTGCATGGCCATGAAGAGAGCTGAACCATACCACGCCCCCTCCCTCTCACGCATGATCGCACCAGCGTGCACGAGCACCCACCCACCCACCAACACAGGCGTCCGCGCTCAAATCCACACACAGGCGCGCGCGCCTGCGCGCACCTCTATGACGCGCGTGATGTCTCTAAAAGCGCCCCGCAGCGACGCCCGGTCCCGCTTGCTGCGCCGCTGCCGGTCCCCCCTGTTTGTCGCCAGGTCCCGCATCCGCCCGACCACCTCCGACAGGCCCGACACGCCGCCGCCGCCGCTGCTGCTCCCCTCGCCGCCGCCGTCCTCCCCCTCCTCCCCGTCCTCCTCCTCCTCGTCCCCTTCCCCCTCCAAAATCGACTCGAGCTCGTCCAGCCCGCAGGTGTGGTAGACCACCGCAATCGCCTCGCCGGCCGCGGCCCGCACCTCCACGTCCCCCTCGTGCAGCAGCGCCGCCAGCGCCGGCAGCAGCGCCTCAACCGCCCCCGCGTCCGGCAGCGCGTTCAGGCTCGTGAACAGGAACGTCCAGCCGCGCAGCGCCGCCGCGCGCGGCGCGGCGGCTGCGGCGTCGCGGCGCGCCCAGATCGAGCGCAGGTCGTCCATCGCACCGCGCGTGCTGCGCTCGTCGTCCGACAGGACAAAGCAGCAGACGGCGAGCGCGTCGGCCGCGGCGGTGCGCGCGGCGGCGCCCTTGCCGTGCTGGGCGGCGCGGAGGAGATCCGGCTGCAGCGACTGAAACAGGCTGCGGCGGGCGTCAGAGGGGGTTGCGACGGGTCGGCGAATGTTTGAGTGGGGGGAGGGGAGGGCGGCTGTGAGTCGAGGGCGGCAAACGCGCCTCAAAGACGTCTCTGGGTCTTGCTGGGGTCGCGCTGCCAGGGGACGGCCACCAAAGGGATGAGAGCGTGCAGTGCAAGCCACGGGCAGGCGCGAGGCGCGTGGCCCGCCGGCCAGGCACAGCAAAGCGCGGCTGTGGGGGCGGCCCCCGGCCGCCGGCCGCGTGGCGCACCTCTCGTCGGCATCGCCGAGTGTGAGCACGTGGAGTGCTGGGGTGCAGGGTGGTGGAGGGGGCGGTGGTCGAGGTACAGAATGGGCATCACCGCATGAGGAGTGCCCGTGTGGGGTGGGGCCCAGTGCATGTGGTGCTCTGAGGGATTGAAGAGCCGCGGCAACGGAAGCAAGAAATGCAAGACGACATGAATCTGCAGCCGCCGCAAGGTTGAGATGACGGCGGCCGCCATACGCCGTCCTCCAACCAAATGCGAAGCGCGCAAGCGGGCCGCTGGGTAGCGAAGCAGGCGGCACGGATGGGGGCGCACCCAAGGCGGTCGCCGCGAACGTCGCCTCTGCCGCGCTGCCCTTCCGCAGGGCCTGCTGGCAGCGCCCCGTAACGGTGGCTGCGTTTTGGAAGCACTCCTGCGACACCGGTGTCATACACGGGGCGCTGATGGGTCACAAGAGCCCACAAATAGACTCGCAAGCACGAGGTGGAGTACCGCGCAGCCAGGCTGTTTGAGCTTGCGAGCTGCGGCTCCTGCAGGCCCGCGCCTCTGCAACAGCAGCGCCGGCCTGCGTCATGCAAGAGCACGCGGCAGGCACCTGCAGCGCGGCGCACCTCGCGAACGCTGTTTCGGATGAGGGCGGCCAGGCGCTCCCAGCCTTTCTCGCGCGTGCTGCCGCGCGACTCGTATGTCCAATCCAGCGCCTCGGCAAACTCATCCATAGCACCGTCGTCTACTTCCTTCATGTCTCCCATCAAGCTGGCAGCTGTGTTGTCGCTGGCTATGCTGCCCTCCCAGTCGTCCTCCGACGGCCCCTTCTTCGAGCGCTTCTTACCCATATTTATCGCTGTCTACTTCTACAGCTCCAAGGTTCTTGCCTGTACCGTATTCCGGGAATTGCCCGCCGTGCCTGTTGTCGTCGTGACAACCGGGTGGAAGAGCTCGATGGCATATTGGTTCGGCGGTGGTTACGAAACACGCAGATTGCGGGGGCTGCAGGCATGGGGCCGAACCCTTATGGCGCGCGGCGCGTCACACAGCAGTGTCCGCCAAAATTTTGCAGCCGCTGCATAGCAAGCATCCTCCGATCGCAAACAGCTGCACGGCACGCCTGAGTATGACACACACATGTGCTTGTTGGCCGAGCTGCGGGCAGGCGTATGAAACGGGGCAGCCAGCGAGGCTAAAGTGGTGGGTGGGAAGCAATCTGGGCGGTGGTGCCAGGTGCACGCACGCATGCACGGAAGCGGTCCCGGCGTGGTCGGGTAGTGGGGCCTGACATGACGCTTCGCTCCCCTGCTGGCCTGTCACTTTGATTGGAGGCACCATCAGTGTCGAAAAGTGGCCCCAAACACCACGCGGCAGCTGCTTGGTGCGCCGTGCACGTGGCGTTGTGCGTGCCTGCCCCACCATCACCTGCCTGCCATAGGCCTTGGGGCCCCGTTTGGGCCCGTCCCTCACCTGTCTCAGCAGGGGTTACAAACTCAGCAACCGCTGCACAGCCTGCGATTACATCCCAGGGGATGGCGGGAGATCACCTTGCTGGGTCCCTCGGAACCGCCCCTCTCATCACCCCTCTGTAAGCAGCACCACCCCTGCCAGGTGCGCTCACGCGATCGGCGATAACTCAGTGTGTTACTCGAGCAGCCTTAGGGTATCTGGCCGCCGCCGGCAGGCCATGGTCCGGTGGTTAGGTTGGGGTGGGTCGCTAGGTGTGGGCGGCACGCCTGGCCACCGCAGCACCGCCCGCGCGTAGATACAGGGCCGAGCTGCGACAGCAAAGGCTCAGCGGCGGGTGAGGCAAGCGCCGGGGCCAAGCCGGCGCCCCAACTATGATTGGGGGGCCGCGGCACAGAGCAGGGGTGGAGGTGGGGGGCAGAGAGCCCCGCGGCAGCGGCGGTGGCGGCGGCGCCGCGCTGGTGTGAAGCATGGCCGGCTCGTGTCGTGATGCGGGAGTGGGCAGTTAGATGGGCAGGCGGGCGGGAGCGTGGCAGCTTCGGCACAGCCTGGTGTGCATTGCGTCAGGGTTGGGGGGGCGCTGCGCGGCGGCACGGCGCACAAAGGGACATCGCCACCATACAAGCAACACTGAGAGCGCGCAGGGGACCCGTGGCGAGAGCCGCGGCCTAGGGAATGGTCATATGCCCACGCCCGGCTCTTCGGAGCGTGCGCCCATGCAAGTGTGCAACCGAGCGCGCGGCGGTGGCGCGGCGCTGAAACTGAAACTGGCGCCGGCGCCGGCGCGGCCCCTCCCGCCACGCTAGGCGCGGCCTAGGGGGTCGCGGGGCTGACGCCCGGCGGCGCGGCGCAGAGGCCAAAAGCGGACGGCCAGGGCCGGGGGCGGCAAGCCCGCGGGGCGCGTCCCGTGAAATGCAGGGAGGTTTGTCATTCCAGCCGAGGTCGAGTCCGCAAGCGCGCCCCTGTCCCGCCCCCACCCGCCGCCGCCGCGAGGACGGGGCGGCCGGCCCTGTGCCTGGCAGCCACCGCGCGCTGCACAGCGCGCGGGGGGAGCACGCTGAGGCAGCAGGCGGGGACCCAGGCCGGGTGGCACCCGAGCCCCAAGCTTCGTTCGCGCGGGCGCACACAGCGCTCACTGTTTTTCGCTCGGGCGCGAGCGAAAACAGTCAGTGCGGGCAACCAACATGCGCGCGAGCTGCGGCCAGCCGGCCTGGCCAGTCGCCTGCCGCACAGCCTCTTGATGGGGGCGGTGCAAGGGCCGGCCCCAGCGCAAACAACAAGCAGGGCAGAAAATGAAAGAGAGATGGGGGGAGAGAGTGCCCATAAACACCCCAGTAAATCAAATGTGCAGCCATGGCGCCCTGGCACTGCGTGGGGCCGGGAGGGGGTAGTAGTCATTTCACCTGCAGGCGCGGCCTTGCTGCAGCCCCGGCCTGGGGCCGAGGGTGCACGTACGCACTCTCAAGACGGCCTCGCAGGGCCCCAGCGGGGCGCCCAAAGTGCAGGCTCGCGGCAGCGCTCAACTGCCGCCGCCGCCGCTGCTGCCGCCGCTGCTGCCGCCGCTGCCGTGCACCGAGTCGCTCTCAAAAGGCTCCAGCGTGAAGGCGCTGAAAGGGGAGCTGCTCGCCTGCCGCTGCGCAGTGACGGCCGGCCGATCTGGCTCGGGCCCTGGCTCAGGGTCTGCTCGGCTGATCCCGCCGCGCAAGGCCGATGCGGCCCCGGCCCCTGCCGCTGGCGGCGCATGAGCAGCCGCCAAAGCCGCAAACGGGCCTCCGCTGCAGCCGGCGCCTTGCAGGAGCGGTGCCGCGGCGGCGCCGGGCGCGGCGACGGGCCCCGCCGGCGCCTCGCTCGCCGCGCCCTCTGAGGCGAATGGGCTGCTGGCCGCCGGGGCGCGCCCGCTCGCACGGCTGCCCGCAGGTGCCTGCGCCTGCGCCGGCGCCGCCCCAGCAGCCCCGTCTCCGCTGCTGGGCGGGGGCGGGACCAGGCTCATGTCAGGCGTCAACGCCAGCCCCTGGTGCTGCTCCTGCTGCTCCTGCTGCTCCTGCTGGTGCTGCTGCATGGTCGGCGACACCGACCGCTCCATCACGATCCGCTGCGGCAC